TAATTTAAAAGATATATAAAAATATAAAAATATAAAAATATAAAAATAGACAATTAATATGCGTAAATATTTTACTGCTTGAAATTTTTAAGTGTTAAATAACATATAAGATAAATAGAAGAGAAGAGGAAGTCGAAGGAAAAGAGATATTTTTACAATGTGAGGAAGCAATTTGACTTTTAATTTTACTTCGTATTTCACTCAAGTAGCGATGCAGTAGGTTATTCAAAACAAGGGGTGCAGAAGGCAGAAAAAAATCTGTGTCGGATGACTTTGCTCTTTCGTAAGCGAAGCAGAGTGACTAAGTGTGAATTCAATTAAGGGTTTGTTTTAAGCGTCTATCAGGCTCTGTTTACGGACTCGTTCGTTATCCGGATAACAAGATAAAATTGACAATTTAAGGGGAATCGATCCAGGTAACAAGAACCTCCCAATTTAAACTCAGTTGATTATTTGTTCAGAAAGAATTCATTTACATCATTTGCATTGTTCCTTAAAGTTAAAATAAAGTCTATTTGATTTCTAGTAGATAATATTATCTAAATATTTTTAAAGAAAAAGATGAAATTAAAAAGATGAAATTAAAGATTACGATTATGATTACTATAATAATTTAGGAATTAATTTGAGATAAAATAAAATTATTTTCTTTTGGTTGTCTTTCTTTAGCAATCATCGTAGACACAGAAAATGGAAAACAAAAATGGTAGGGTGTTTGGGTGTTGATCCTCCCTTTGCTTCAATGCCGTCCAATCCTACATATGAGTAACACAAGCTATTCCTGCATGCCGAACGAAATAGTTTGGGGCGGATCTTGGAACCATTCTTAATTGTATCGAGGGGCGCGAAATTCTTATCGAGAAACGGCTCGTGAGAATTATACCATATCGGCCATTTCCGAAATTCGTCGTGGTAAAATGCACTATTAATTTCTATAAAAACTTACTTCTTTCTACTAAATTTCGTTCTTCTCTTATTTTCAAATATTTCTATAATTTAAGTCAATACATTATAAATATTAGATTGCGTTTTTAATTTTTACGGTTTTTTAACAATAATTTAATTATAAAAAATAGAAACTTATAAAAAATATATATATAAATATATAAAATTAATCAATATGTTATATTCTGTTAAAAGTGAATAAGATATTTATTTAATAAGATATTGTATAAGAGTATTGTATAAGATTGGAAGATATTAGAAATACTTCATAATTGTCCTTTTCTTTTCCTCCTTCCCTTCTTTCTGCTTTTCTCTTTCTATTAAATTTTTATGCCAAATAATATATACTTATAGGTTAATTGAGGTATTTTTTTTAACAACTTCATTTCGGCTCAGCGTGAATAATTGTAACGCGTGACTGTATTGTTGAAGCATTGTACTTCAAACAGGCTGCCACAAAAGATCAGGACGAGTGAGATGAAAAAAGAGCAGCTGTGAATAGAACCTCGAAATGGCGATTCTCTGCGCGTCACAAAATACGCGGCGTTTCTTTTTATCCAACAACTTTGTAAGTCGATTTCAGTGACCCTGAATCATTTATTAACAAGCATGATTGACGAAGGAATTTAATTTCACAGGAAGATAAATATTAATTTAGATAGTCTAATCAAACTTTCATTATTTTTAAAGAGAAATTATTTCTAAAGAGAAATTATTAACTAATTTCTACAAGTAGATATACATATATTTACATCGCACAAAGAAGTCAATACTTTATATTATTTTAAACACATATTGTTATTGTAATATTACTATCAATTTTTTTTTTATATTATTCCAATAAAAATACCAGTAAATGTTATTCTCTTTCTCTTTTCCTGTCTACGAAACACAGAACACGTCTATAGGATTATGGGATTAATTACATGAAGGGGGTTAATACCCAATTCGGCTAGTGTTGAAGAGGGATGCTTATAGCGGACTAAGGCAATAATATCAGCGGTCACTTATCAGTTGCCACACAGCTTCGAGGAATTTGTTATATACAATAAAACATCATTGGATTATATAATTATTTTTAAAAGTTTATTATTTCTGTGCCTAATTCTGGAAAATATGAAATGAGGTAGAAAATAGCAAAGCATAAATGTTATATAAATAAATGTATTTTATTTATTTGACAATAAAAATTATTTAATATTTTTGTGATATATAATCGATTTCCATGCACAAATTTTTTGATCACCATCGCAATTCATAGTTCGCTGTCAACCAGGATGGGAAGCTCATTGCTATTCCGTGAGTAGATCGTGCGGAGCATTATGGGTAGTCGCAGTTGGGGCTCTACTAAATTGAAAACAAGATCCATCACGTTTTCACGAGAGCAAAAAGAATTTTAATGAATTATAAGTAGAAAATGAAAGAGAAATAGGAAAATTAATATTCAATTTTTTCGGAATTAAATTACTAAACGTTGTCACTATTTTGTAAATAGTCAAAATAAAACATTTTAATATTTTCCTAAATCTAAGTACAAGTTTAATATTAAAAATATAATATCAACATTTATAAACAAATTTAAATTATATAAATTTAGATTAAATATATATATA